CAAGATTCTACCGGAGCAAGAGACGTTTAAACAGTGGAGCTGCTTGGGAGAGATTCACCAGAATCAGCAACTGCAACACAGAATACAGGTCAGAGATCCAAATGACACGAAGACAGGTCTGATAGGGGTCAGGCAGGCAAGCAGGTTTACAGGAATACTTGTAATAATCTGACACTAGTCAATGGTCTGAGAGCTGGTTATACAGTTAGGTAAGAGGGAAAATCTGATGGAGGCTGAGTGGAAACAGGTTGCATTTCTCTGAGTAACAGAGCAGTTACCGTAGATGCTGGCTGGAGATGGGAGCCTTCAAAGGAAGGCCTTCCTGTGATGTGAAGCTGGAGCAAAATGAACCAAAGGTAATTTAATGGGAATCCTTGTGTCTGCTAATGCTAACCCATTCAAAGATTGTAAAGAATAATTTAACTAAATGTTACTGGTTCCTCATTAAGCAAATAATTTATTAAAACATTATCTGGCAAAACAATTTTTATTCACCTCTTGGATTTGCATTGTGAATTGATTTTAAGACATATCAATTGATCTAAATTAGTTAAAAGCTAGTTTTTTTATATCCCAAATTCTTCAAGATAAACTTTGTTTCTCCAACACAAAATCCCAAAAATTGTTCTTTATTTGCATCGTCTGATTATTGTTTTCAACCATGTTGTCCTTTCTTCTTTGTACATACTAGCTTAGTTTTGAGGAGTTTTACTAGTTTTAGGCAAGAGTTTTCATTTGTTGTTTTAACACACAGCCAGTAGCTGGAACATAAATGTTCTGCTATCAGAACTTTGAGTCACCAGCCTGATGATATTCCCTCAACCCCAGAGAAACAAAACAAAAAAAACAAAAAAGAAATACAAGCATGGTAGGAAATCACTTGAAGTATGTAGTTATCTAAACCTGGCCAGAAGAGAAACCTTTAGTCTAACACAGAGGAGAAAAAAAGAGAGATGCAAAAAAACATTGTAATTGTATATGTCTAGGAATTTCTGAGAACTCAGAAGTATTTTGTTGAAACCCCGATGGATTTCAAACCCAAAAACACACCCGTGCAAAAACTGGTTTATCCTTAAGACAAAACACCCAAACCTAAGGTAAGTTTATGCAATCCTGTGCAGTGAGGACTGTAAAGCTTCCTATATTTGAGAAACTAAACAACAACTACAAAAAAAAAACAGTAACTCTGGGCAAGATTCAGTTGTACACTTCAACCTCAAGAACAAAGGGCACACCTTTCAATACCAAAATGTTTAGATTTTGGACAGAGGACAGATTGTTCGAAAGAGGGGTGAAGGAAGCCCTCTTTGTGAAAGAGTTCTAACCTTGTTTTTGTCTTTGCCTTTTCGGCAGGAAGTCATCCTGCAAACTGGATTTTTGGCCTTCTCCCCCTGGAAGGATTGTTTTGAGCTTCACACTGAGCAGGGGATTAATTCCACACAACCCGTTCAAGTTCTCCTGGAAATCTAAGTGGCAGTCCGCTCCATTGCTCCTCAAGGAACCAACCAAACCAAAAACCTGTCTGCCCTCCAACGAGCCCCCCAAACTCTGGATAAAACCCACACCCAATGGATTCCAGGAAGAGAAACTTTTTCTGCTAACGTGAGTCACGTTCATCTCTGATTTTCGCAAGATGTTCAAAGTTCCCTGAACTAACCTCTGAACTTCCCTTTCTCACTACCAGTTCCGGTTCACCAGCTCTCTGAATTACCCTGGATCAACCTTATTGATTATTTCAATAAACCTGTTAAACTTTTACTCTGGCTCTCTGAGTGGTTTCCTGCATATGGGTCAGATCTCTTAAAAACATCATGACAATAACATTACGCAAAAAGAGAACCACAACTGAAAATACAGTAATGTGCAACACAATTATAATACAATTTTTAGAAGATTTTACCTTTAAATTTTTACAGCAGAACTGTAATCTTTAAGAGCAGGCCCTGTGACATTTTGTTGCTCCAAACCAGCCATGTGTTTTCTAATCCAATGCCAGAAAGGAAAGAGATCAGCACAGTGCTACACAGAACATTAGTTACACAGTTATGTTTTACATATATCCCACCTCTACACAGAAGGTGGGATATATGAAAGACATAGTTAATGTGGTTAAAAGTGTAAAGAAATTACTTCTTACATCCATGAAATGCAGTTCTATATGGGAAGATTTTGTGAGTTTAAAATAGTTTTTCCAAAGTTTCAAGAAGTTTGTTTCTAATTAATTAAGCATTTCTGAAACGTTTATTTAAAAACTGGAAATTAGAACAATGCAGAAGGAATAATTTCTTTTTTTATACATATATTTAAAACTGGCGGTTTAATAAAGAATATATACTTATAGCATTTTACTGCATTTACTGCATTTTGGAAATTTAACTCTTCTTACAATTGTGTTTTATTAGATAATGATGAAGCCTTTGAGGCTGGAAGGTCTCATTGTCATTATCCCTTTATTATGATTATGTAAAAACATTATTCACACTCTATCAGTTGTCTGTTTGCTGTACACCCATTCCTCAATAAAGACTTCTGAATAATTTGCATGCACACGTTGATTTTATTTGACGGACCAACACAAAGTATTGCTTCATTGTAGACTGGGAAGAAAAGGACACATGAATCATTCTTTGCTTATAAACCTGAAATTAGTTCTGAGGATTTGCGGTAGGACTTAATTATTGTTAAGAGACACTCATCATCCAATCTGATTAAACTAAAGCTATTTTCCAAAGGAAAATTTTAAAGAAAATTCCCATCCTTATATGTGTGAAGATGGAAGACACATGGCACTAAAAGACATAACAGCAGCTAAGTTTTGCATAAATTTCAAGTTTATGACGCCGTGGAAGCTGTAGCTTCTTTGGTAATGGGACATATGATAGGTTATATATTTTCAAATATATAGAAGAAAGCTAGAGTAAAATACCCAAATTTTGCTGTTCTAACTGTATTTGTTCTAATTACTTTATCTTGTGCCAACCTCGCTTTCTTTCTTTCACATGCTTTGCTAATCAGACCATTTGTACTGATTTTGTCACAATGTAATTCTCAGGTTTGCCATAGGCATGATGATTAGGCCCTTGTAGGAGAAGTCAAAGAGCTCTAAAACACCATGCAAATGCCAAGGCCCGGTCAAAAGTTTAAGGAAGCAGCAGAAACTCGTTCAGAACACTCAGAACCTTCCTCACTCTATCTCCTTTAATTTTGTAAAGAAATACTACAGGAAAAACAAACAGGGGTTCAATATTGTTTTTGAAAAACATGAGCCAAAGTTGGGCTACATTGTTTGTAGCACTATTGCATTGCAGCAAGAAGGGCTATTCCTGGCCCAGGGTCTTTTTGCAAGGAGTTTGCATGTTTTCCCTGTGCATGCGTGGGTTCTCTTAGGGTACTCTGGCTTCCTCCCAAAATCAAAAAACATGACTGTTGGGTTAATCTCTAAATTGTCCTTAGGTGTGCGGATATGGGTGTGTGTGTGTGTGTGTGTGTGTGTGTGTGTATGGTTGCATGTCTCTGTGTTGCCTGTGATGAACTGCTGACCTTTCCAGGGTGTACCAAGGCTTTAACCCACAGCCCATAAACTGCTAGAGATAGGCACCAGCACCACCGTGAGCCTGATGGATTAAGCAGGAGAATATGGAGGAACTAAATTTTATGCAACAAAAATATATTGTTTTGATTTGATTTATCCCCACATCTGGTTGTTAATGCAATCAAGTTATACTGTATATAATGAAGCTTTTAAACTCTGTTATTGGCAAATGGTTTGCCTGCATTTATGAACATTTTATTTTTATTTATCTAGTTATATATAAACCTAAGATATTGTACAACAGATGAAAACAGATTGCTTGCTATTGTGTTTGTGTGATTATTATAGTTATCTTCATGGCCTATTTAAATCCGATTCAGATGCTTGGTTGCATTTTAACAGCAGCTCTCTCAAGTTTAGGATATTTTTTACTTTGCCAAATTAAAAATGGGTAAAGCCCTGAACAATATGTGTTTAAGCTGCTTTCATGGGTTAAATGTTATGTCACTTTAAACTAAAAAGCACTTTCCATTGTATTCCATTAAGGAAATGTTTAATAATAGACACATACATTAACCACTTCATACTATTTTCATTAGGTACTACTAACATCCTTATCTCATTACTACCACTGACAGTTTCAGTCAAGGTTTGATATTTTTGTTTTAAATTGATGAGTCCTAAGTGTGAACTTATTAAAATTATTATCAGCTTGGATCTGATTAATTTCTTACTTTAGAACACGATTTAGAAGGTGACCCCCAACCTGCGTGCTGTTTGCCCTGTTAATACCACTAAAACAATAAATAAATAAAAGAAAGACCTAAATAGAAACTGGTGCTTATATTACTCCCTGATTTCACCTTTCAATGTTTGTTGCATTTTATCTTAACGCTCCACTTAAGCGCCGCCTGCGTTAATATCCTATTGGTTTATAATCAGAAGAACCCATCCTGGTTCGATGCAAGTAGCCAATGAAAACACTTTACGTCACATGAAGCTTTTACTAACCCCGCCTACATACAAGAACACTGGGATATTTAGTTCGGGGGCTTCTAAATAAAAGTGCAGCGGTCAGTTAACGAACTACAATATCTACTTCCTGGTTTGATGAAGAACTGTTTCTCTGCGAGAGAGCAATAAAAATAATTTTATTCAACTACACGGTGCACTTTGGAGTAAGAGACCGCATTCATAATGGTATGTAAAATGCATACAAACATACTTTTAAATAAAGCATCAAATTATAATGAATTGATAGCAGGAAGCTAATATTTGGCGAATGCTACGCTGCTTAGTTACTCTGAAGCAAGCTTTAGGTTCATTACTTTCCCGTTAAAGGAAAAAAAAAATCTTTATAATCCAAAACAAATTACATGGACCTGTCAAATGAGCATCGGATCAGATCAGAATAAATACAGTTTGCATGGAAATACATCTTCTGATTGTGTATGTTTGTACGGGAAGTGGTTAGGACCAAAAAGGTGCTGAAATAAGCTTATCACAAGTATAGAAAGCTACAAATGGGAAGCTAGCTTCAACCTCTTCTGCTTTTCACTCGTATAATTCTCTATATTACATTCTCAATTTTGCCATCAGCGTATTAAGCCACGAATCTGTAATATTTCTCTGAGCATGCATGTTTGTATGGGAAGTGGTTAGGACCAAAAAGGTGCTGAAAAAAGCCTATCACAAGTATAGAAAGCTACAAATGAAAGCTAGCTTCAACCTCTTCTGCTTTTCACTCGTTAATTCTCTATATAACAGTCTCAATTTTGCCATCATAGCCTAATACGGACTATTTCCTAGACTAGAAGGGGTTTTTTGTTAGTCATGTTGCTGCTAAAACTACACATCGGCGGTTTGGATTTGTCCCAAGTCTTTCTTTGAAACTGTGGATGGGAGATTTGCGCGACGATGAGACGCTTGATGTTGAACTGTGCAGTTAATGCACATAAAACCTTTAGGATCAGGTGGTTGGTTTCGTCTACTTCTCAATTTAAAAGGTCATTTATGCAGTGTACCTCCGCCTTACAGGGGGACACGGTTTGCAATGGGACACAGGGGAAGAAGTTGCTTTTAGACTCGCAACTGTTTGATGCGAAGTTTGAGGAGCTGGTTACAGAGCTGACAGAGGGGGACCTCCAGGATCTCGGGGTGGCCGATGCTCTAAGCAGGCTAAAAGAGGTAACATTTTATTTATGAACACCTTTTGCCTTGTTATATAAAGTGCAATTATTTAATTTGGATGTGACTGTACTTTTTTTTTTTTTTTCCTTTTAGATATTGAGGTACAATGTTCCCGGAGGCAAGAAGAACAGAGGATTGTCTGTGATTGCCTCCCTGAGGGAGCTTCTTCCAGCCTCCCAGCTCACCCAAGATGCAGTACAGAAAGCTTTGCTGGTTGGCTGGTGCATAGAAATGGTGAGGATTTGATCAGTTAATGTCATCTCTGAAGCCAGTTCTGATCAATAAGTCAGTGTCTTCATCTCTCCAAATCAGCTTATGGGTGTTGTCAAACTTATTGTTAAATACGTTGCAATTCTGGATGTCATTTATTGTTTTTCAAACGTGCACTATGGTCCCCTGCATGTTTTATTGTCCAAAAACAATGTCATGCTACAGTGCAAAGACATTAGTCGGGCATTACGACCAAGTGGAAAACCACAGTCAAGCTGAAGCCTGCTACCCTGAGTTTAGACCGCCCACAAGCTCCTGATTGGCCCATCGTCTTTTCTTGTGTGATTGGCTGGCTAACACGCTTAAGTTAGTTATAATAAAACAAATACTTGCTTCCGCCCTCCCACCGCTGAAATCTAAATGTTGTCCATGGCTGCAATGCATCATAGAGTTTGTTTTCATTTGAAACAAATGGGCTTCCGGTATCACAACTGTGTTAAAATCATTCCGGCGGTAATATAACCAGTTATGGTTATATTGGGTTTTTGGGGATTGCTGGTTGTGAGAAAACTGATTAGTTTTAGAGCTTTGGTTAGGTAAAGATGGTCAGATATAAAACATGAACAGAGGAACTATCTAAAGGTGATAAGGTAAAACACCACACTCAAAAAAACATTTTTTTCCTTCTTTTGACAGTTATGCACTAGTTTGTCTGTCGATGAAATAAAACTCCAATAATGTATATGTATAAATTGATCATTATATGAAAATGTGTGAAAAAATTCAAGGGGTATGAGTTGCAAAATACTGGAGATTTTGGCTATTTGTGTCTAAAATACTGCTTCTCTGGCACAGGCGGATACTGGATGCCAGTTTATCTGTTCTCAGCATTGTCACTCTGTTTTTCGCAGCTTCAAGCCTTTTTCCTCATGGCTGATGACATCATGGATGCATCTGTGACTCGAAGAGGACAGCCCTGCTGGTATAAGAGGGTGAGTCCTCAAAAAGATTCCAAACCGTGTTTTTCATGTCATTATCTGGACACTTCCTCTGCTGTTTCCTAATGTAAATGTTGTCTCCTTCCTCTCTTAAGGATGGAATAGGGCTGGATGCAATAAATGATTCTTTCCTTGTCGAGTCATCAATATACAGACTTCTTCTGAGGCAATGCAGGGATCAGCCCTATTATGTCCATTTACTGGAGCTTTTTAACGAAGTAAGTCCCGGTCCCTGGAAAGGAGTGGTAACGAGGTGGGCTGTGTTTACATTGCTGTGCATGTCAGTGTCAAGAGCAGCCCTTAATCAAAGTAGTAATCGAGCTTGAGTGTTCTTTTTTTATGATGTCACTGTGAATTGAATATAGGAGGATAACTCCACTAGTTGTTCCTCTAAAGATGAAAAATTGCACGGGTTGGTACAGATTAATTCATTCATTTTGTGTATACCTTCCTCTGTTCCTCATATCCTACATTTTTTTATTCTACTTGTATCCTCCCTCCCTTCCCATTCTCCTTTGATCCTCCCTTCCTTGAAAACTCCCTTTTTGACAGATTTCTATTTAAAGCCCACATGTTGTTAGATAAAATGCTATCGATTGATCTTTAAGATTAATGTAAAAACTAGATATTCTGTAACAGTCATGTAGAATATGGCATTTATTTAAATGAAAATCAGTATGGACCCAGATTTTAAGCCTGATCGTTTGTGTCCATTCAGTTGCTCACTTATTCAGGAGTCACCACAGCAAGTCATTATATCTTCTCGACAGACCTAGCAGTGTTTATGTCAAATGTCCTTGGCACATCAGGGATTTGAAACCAGGTCCCTCACACCATGGAGGGACTCCTTTTTTTTTTTTAAGCGCAGCCAAATATACATCCGGGTCACCCTCGATTTTTCTTAGTAAAAAAGACCTAAATTACGTTTTTCCCTCCCCAAAAATAGTGAGCGCACGTAACTATGATATGTTAAAGGTTAATTTTGTATTTCCTGAGAAAATAAATGCATTAAAAGCCTTTCAATTTGATCACTCGTCTTTCCCCGATTTGCACCAGAAATGGGATCCTATGCTACTTCCTGGAGCTAACTTTCTCGGCTTTGGATTTAATCATAAATATAGTCTGTTTGAGTTTAAGTTGTGTTAACCTTATGGTATATAGTGAGTAGATCTAAAGAAAGAACAAGTAAAATGCAGATAAACGTGGTTTAATCATATTTTGCCAGACGACTCTGAGCATGTCAGATGATGATGGACAAGAAGTTTAATGGAGAAAATGTAAACGGCATCAAATTGTCTCAGAAAAATCATATATTTATTTTTTTTTTAAGATTTCTATTTGTATTCTTTAGTGATTTAAGGTGAGAAATTGGTACTTTTACTGCCATAATAACATTATTTATTGCGACCTGTATCAATATCTGCTTGCACATGCGCCAGTGAGCTGATGGTACGGATCATGATTCCAGTACAGATCTGTTAGTGATACTGACCGTTTATTTCATATCTTTTAAAACAATTATGGCGTCCATTATGTGTTTCAGACCACGTTTCAGACTGAGCTTGGTCAGACGCTGGACCTCATAACTGCTCCACCCGGTCAGATTGACCTGAACAGATTTACCATGGAAAGGTAACGACAGATTGATTGACTTTATTGATCTCACAGTGGGATATATATATATACAGTGCATCCACTTAAGACAGCTTTTTTTTTTTTTTAAATAGAGGAATTATTATACAGGGTTATTGCACAGAGCGTTTACATGGGTATTTATATAGATTAATATTTATTTATTTTTTATGTGTGGATGATGGGTATCAATATAAAGAGAAACAGGCTATTGCACAGGGTATCAAATAGTAATTGCACCTGCATTATACATTGCAGAAGTTATTGCCGTTCTTGTGTCGTAGGAGATGTCTCAAATGATCAATAAATGTACGTAATGACTTTTTATTTTGTCCATTCCAGGTATAAGGCCATTGTGAAGTACAAGACTGCCTTTTACTCTTTTTATCTCCCAGTAGCCTCTGCAATGTACATGGTGAGCATGCTGGCATTTATAAATGATAATAGTAACAATGATAAAGAAGGAGGAACAAATTGTTTCTTGGACAAGGCCAGAACAAGATAAGGCAGCACAGCATGGCCTCGGGAAGTAATGAAAGCATGTAGCTTGTTCCCATCACATGCTCTGCCTTTGTTCCTGCAGGCAGGAATTGATAGTGAGGAGGAACACAACAATGCAAAACACATCTTATTGGAGATGGGAGAGTTCTTCCAAATACAGGTACTTCCTTGTTATGTTATCGGGTTTCTGACTGTTGCCATGTCTGCTGTGTTAATAGGCTGTCTGTATATCTAATTTTGCAGGATGACTTCTTGGACTGTTATGGTGACCCTGCAGTGACTGGAAAGATCGGAACAGACATCCAGGACAACAAATGCAGCTGGTTGGTTGTGAAGGCTCTGGAAGTAATGACTCCTCAGCAGAGATCTGTTTTAGAGGTGATATTTGTGATACATTATTTCCATTCTACTAACATATCTTGGTGATGCACTATCCTAAAGGGCCCAAAGTTTATCTAAATGTTATACAGCATCAAAATATGACAATTTATATTGCTGTATGGATATCCCTTGTTGAACAGTGTTTAATCTAAGCCTGTAGATATTGTGGCTACTGTATGTTGGCCACTATCCAGCTGTTTATGGTGTACCACCATGATGCTCTCATTGTACACCTTGTCACTTTTTCGTTCCCTTTACTTTACTTTAGGGCGTTGTCAGTTTGCTAAGTACCTGCCAATGCACTTATTACATTGGTCTTAAGAAACATTATTCATCTCTTCTGAGTGCATCCGTCCCTGGATTTTTCAAAGGGTACTATACTAACAACCATTTTACATGCAGATCTATGGAAATGCATTTAAATCTGAGAACCTTTTTAAAGTTGCACATGATGGCTTTCTCTCTGCATCCATCAACACATCCATCCTTCAGACCAATTTGGTCACTCTGTTGTAATTTCAGCTCTTCCTATTTTCACTGGTTTTTGCAAGAGAACACTAATGATTTTTATATTTAGTTTATTTACCGTAATCATTTTAATAACCATTTATTAGTCTACTGTTTAGTTACATTATTGAATAATATGGAAAAGGGTTCCTTTGCTTTTTTCACCTGTCTTTTACCCTTGATTTATTGCTCTTGTTTCTCCTTCTTTGTCATTTATAATAAATATAAATATTAAATGATTAGTTGCCATCTACAGATTAACGGTGGTCAGGTGAATATGTGCTTAGCCATATGGTCTAGTTTACTTTTATGTTTTCTGTGTAACACAGATTCTCTTTCAGACTTATAATTTTTTTCTTTCAGTTTAGTTCTGGTCCCTCTTTGGAGCATTTAAGTTAAATAAAATATGATTCATAATGAAATAGTTTTTAACAAAGCTGTCTTAATGAACCTCTTGCTAGGACATATTTGTAGTCAAAAACCCCTTTTTTTCATACCCCATATGAGAGGATGATATTAAAATCTTGGGTTTTCAAAACAAGTGTGAAACTTCATGATAGACTTTTAAACTCACTTTTTTGGTCAATACTAGTAGAACTATTTAATCTCTAAAGTTAATTAAAGGTTACTGTCTTTCTTTTTATTTCACCGGCGCTAATCATTTAAAAATATTTTAATTCACAATGCTCTCGATTCCATATTGTAGAAAATATGAGACCTCTTCTGTCAAATGCATCCAGACCTGATCTTTTCCTGTATCCCCCCCCACAGGCTTGCTACGGCCGCAAGGATGAGGCCAGCGTGGCAAAGGTCAAAGAGCTCTACAACTCCCTCCAAATGCCAATGCTGTATCACACCTATGAAGAGGAGAGCTATCAGCGGCTGCAGAAACTCATCGCTCAGCATGCTCAGAACCTTCCTCACGCCATCTTCCTCAACTTTGCCAAGAAGATTTACAAGAGGAACAAATGAGGTGTTGGGGCTGGCTCTAAAGAAAGCAGCAAAACAAAAAAAAATCTGAAATGAACTCAGAGTTGAAAAGATCAGGTCATCTCACTTTTTGGGTGAAGTTTCAGAGAAATCTGATCAGAAATATTTGAGTAGCTTTTCATTAAGTTAAAACGGTTTGGTGATTGTCATTGCACAGCCGTATATGGTGAAATAAAGGGCTCATTTGGTCCTTAAATTCTCAACAAGGTGTTTATATAGATGAAAATGTTAAAGGAAGGGGCAGTGCTTTCGTTAAAGCAGACATGTACTGGCCGATGATTTCCTCACACCTTTTTAAAGTATTTTCTTTTATGAAGTACCTAATCACCTCTTATGTCATTGCACCTAATAAATTATTTACAATCTGTCTTTTGTATTTGTTTCCTGTGCGAGAAGAATTAACAATGCAAGGCCTAAGGGGGGAAAAAAAAAATTATCTGTATTAGATGATGTTTGATACTCATTAAGACAACTGATGGTTCAATTGATTGATTGACTTTATTGATCTTGCAGTGGAGAAAATAACTCGTTACAGCAGCTCAAATAGTCAAAGAAGAAGAAGAAGGTGCCAAAGGAAGAAAAAGGCGCATGGGATGTATACAGTATATACAATGCATCCACATATAACAGCTTTTTTTTTTTTTTCTAGGATATTATACAGGGTTATTGCACAGGATGTTTACATGGGTGTATAGATAGATATTTATATATATATGGTTATTGCAGTGGGTGTGAGATATAGAGAAACGTAGGGCATCAAATAGTAATTGCACATTTCTCTATTATATTGAAAATTAAATCAACTTTTTGGTTATATTCTCATTCATTGAGAGGCAACTACTCTGTAACCACTAGTTTAGAAAAAGCAGAATTAGCTGTTTTATTTTGCTGAAAATTTGCACGAAATACATCTATGATCAGGGGCAGATTTATCGTTAGGCAAAACTAGGCAGTTGCCTTGGGCTCCAAGTTCATGGGGGCCCCATAAACCTCCTTTTACACGTGTGGTTAATACAGGTATTAATTGTTTGTGCACATTAATTATGTTTTTGATAAAGATCCTTTCTCTAAAATGCCATCAGAATGCTTATAATATTAAGTGCCCGCCCCCAGTGTCCACCACATTGGATCAGTCCATTTGCTGGTCCAGGTTCAGTCAGCAGGAAACCATTTGAAAACTAACTGTGAAAAAAAAATGTTAGAACTGTAAATTTACAGTCATATTTTTATATTACTGTTTTCTATACATCTATATTTTTTACTATTTTTAAAGTCTGCACTTTTAAAAAGATGAAATTGTCCAGAGAGCTGTTCCAAATGAAACTTCTTTTTGTTTTACACCTGTGTAAACAAAATGAAAAATAAATCTAAGTCTAAAAAAGTCTAAGTCTAAGAGTAGTGTTGCAGATTTGCCCTATGTGCTTTTGTCGCTATATGTTGCGACTTTTCAGACCCCTCTAGCGCTTTTATTTTTTAAAAAAGCGGTTATTTATAAATAATACAATTTAAGATAAAATTCTGTATCTGTGTAATGGGTCTGTTTCATGTGTTGTCTTTTCAATTCAGAGGACCCAATGCATGCCTTTGCCTAGGGTCCTAAATCCGCCCATGTCTATGATTAAAAATGCTTTAAAAGAAATTCATTATAAATAAATGTATTTTTGAAAATAGGCTTCACCAGTTTGGTAGCAATTACTTAAAGAAAATCCTTTTAAAACGAAATGTTAGTGTGACTTTGAGAGGATGGAGTTAAGGTTGGAGGGGGTTGGCCGGGAAAAGGAGTTTATGTAATCTCGCGAGAAGACAAGGGATACGGCCGTTACCAACGAGAAGAATCCACATCCTCCCTGAATTGGATGTGAGAGAGACGGAGGAGATGGAGACCTTCACCCATCTTTAAACGAAGCAAACGTGAGTCTTTTTAATATTTAATTTTTACCCATACACAAATACGTAGGTTTTTAGTAGCTTTAACGATTAAAGTCCGAGAACTGCCATGTCAAAACATGAATTATGTAGGTAACCCTGTGATTTGGTACAACGTGTAGATTTAAATATTTCGTTTTTTTAATCCATTAATATTGACATACGGATTTTAAATTGAGCAGGGGTTAAATTGAGCCTTGTATTTTAAGCATAATAAATGGGGCGTGTGGGCCTCTTTATCAGAGCGATGCGGATGGATGTATCCCCCCCCACACCCACACCCTCCTCCACCCGTCCACAGCACTGTCTCCATCCGCTCCGTGGGATCAATGCAAACTAGGTTCTGCACGGGACCGTCCATCCGAACACATGCGGGGATAGGCTGTTTGGCCCTGTTTCACTTCATAGCTTCAGTAGCTTCAATCCTAAGCACAAACACAGCTGGAGTCATTAATATTCGCGTCGGTGTGAAGAGCACTGTTGAAAAATATATTTACTGGAAAATAAATAAATAAATAAATA